ATGTTGATCTTTATTCTTGTTTTTTTCCTCATATTTGTCTCCTCTTAGAAAAACCGAAAGATCACATTTGGGCTACAGAGGCAGGCCGCGGAAGAGGAGTGAGGAATTCCCGGATACCTGGCAGGGTGTGTTGAGGCGTAAGGGTCATCTCCTGTCTGTGTCCTGGTGTGCACCATCTAGGGCACCATCTACCAGGTTCGTATGCGTTATTATTATAAAAATTGGAATCCAGAGAAGGCTCTAATGCAGTGTTTATAAAAGTATCAACCCTATGACCTACCTCTGCTGACCAATGAATGCTTCATATACAGAAGAATGTAACCTGGACAAATGTGGCTTTTTTATGTAGGACCGCTATCTCTGAAAATCTATCACCATCTTGGCTCATGAACTTTTCTCGAAGACCACAAGACTAAATACAATTAACATTTTAACCCAAAGCACCATGTAAAGACTTAAAAAAAAAAAAACTTGTATGTTAATTAGGTTTCTTAAACTCATGCATAAAAACCAGCTTTACTTACAAAGACACAAAGTAGTCTTTTCCTGTCTAAAATATTTACAGTCTATCTTTTAAAAATTGTATTTCACCTCACAAGACTGGGTTATCAATCAGTTACAAGCATTTCTCTGGTGTTAAAAGTCCAAGTACAGGCGTTACAAATAGAAGATCTTACAAGTCATTCTTTAGATTTAGAATGCAAGAAGCTTTCATTTTGAAAATAGGTTCCGGAGAAGACCTGAATGAAAGCAATTGCAGCTTCACAAAAAGGCACTGCCATCATCGTGCCATCCGTTCACCATGTTCAGAAACACACTTGATGAAATATTATCTTCAACCACAGAACACAGAGAGGTCTGTGGAACCACCGTGCAGGACATGGAGAAGCTGGGCTGCCTGTCACCTGGCTTCTCTGAGGCAGCTTCCTCACGTGCAAAACAGATCCAAGTCATGTACCAAACCAGACAACTTCCCAGGTTTCTTCCAGACCCAAAATGTTGTGATTACGAGAGGATGGCCAACAGAAAGTCCAAATGATATTTAGGAGACTTGCCCTCATACTGACTGCATTTCTATTATACCTAACTAGGACGCTCATAAATATCAATTAGGAGTCTATCGGGAACAATCGGGTGTAGATTACATGAAAGAAAAATTGTACTTATTCCCAGCAAACGTATAATTAAGGCCAATATCTTACATAAACACACCCACAGGGCTTCCCTGGTGGCGCAGTGCTTGAGAGTCCGCCTGCCGATGCAGGAGACGCGGGTTCGTGCCCCGTTTCGGGAAGATCCCACATGCCGCGGAGCGGCTGGGCCCGTGAGCCATGGCCGCTGAGCCTGCGCGTCCGGAGCCTGTGCTCCGCAAATGGGAGAGGCCACAACAGTGAGAGGCCCGCATAACGCAAGAAAAAAAAAAAAAAACACACCCACACACGCACATGCCTGTGCTATATAACTACATTACCTGTACTCGGGTAGGCAGGTGCAGAGTAAAGAGCTGACGTGTCCAGTGACATATGCACACTCTGATGACAACAACCAGGAAGGCATCTAGGTGCCAAGTGGCCAAAGTGGACGCTATGTCACCACGGCTAATTCTTCTAGGAAACACAAGTTCTGTCTCCATCTGTGTCACTTCTCGTATCATCTGCCTTTGCACTGGCTATCGATTAAAAAGCCACATTAAGTACATAGTATCCATGTACTTAAAAAGATACTGGAGGTATTAAACTGCTTTTGAATTTGACAATTAACTGAATATTTGATATTAAGAAACCACATTTCAGGTAATGATAATAGTATTTTAGTTACAGTTTTCACAAAGCATCTTTACCTTTGAAAATTACATACTGAAATAATTATGGATGAAATGATGTGACCTGCTTCCAAAATAATTCAGGGTGAGGGAGGCGGTGTAGATAAAACGAGACTGGCTGTGAGGGGATAACTGTTGAAACTGGGCAGGTACACGGGAGGTTGTGGTATCACCTTTGGTGCTCTTAAGTATGTTTGGAATTCTCCAAAATAAAATAGTAAGAACTCCTTCTGATGGTGAGCTCAAAAGAACACACCAACCTTCCAACTGAGAGACAGTTATCTGTTAGGACTCTATACTGTTCATATTAGTCGTGTCTGCTGACAACAGGTGGGCACGGCTCAGGATGTTCCTCTGAATGTCAAGGACGATTAAATTCTAACCTATAAACATCTGACTAATGAATTTAGGAAATTTACATTGTATTGTCAGGAAATCTGTGGAGTAAGTTCAAAGAGTCGTAAACTGTTATGTTTCACTTCCTAATGTTAAAGACCAACTTATGGAAATGACTTTAGGTAAAGCTCATCAATAACCAAAGGATCCACGTAATGCACATTCCTCCAAGTACTTCACACGCCAGCGGCAACTTCCACAACAGGCTTGGCCAGAGGGAACAAAAAGGCAGGTCGCCAGTTACACAGAAGCTAGTGTCTTTTTTTTTTTTCTTCCAGAAATGCTGATTTTCAGCAGTTCTGGATAAATACATATAGCAATACATAACACCAAGATAGCAGGGCAGGAATCCATTAGGTAAGGGTGTGTCTCTGTTTATCTTCAAGAAAGATTCAGACCTTCAGTGATGGAATATCGGTTACTAGACCCTTTGGGTATGGGTGCGACAATAAGGTCTATGAATTTTCCTGGCACTTCTCCAATTTCAAATGGTCTATATGCTGTCTTCATAAATGACACATGCTTTCCAGAAATTCAAATATTTTCATAACTAAATCATACAGTTGGATTGTTTCTTATAAGCCTGAGTAGGGGAACGTTTGTCAGCCCGTGGTCCTGCTTGCATCACTGTATTTACCAGCCTCTTCACTGGAGAGGGGAGGGGGGA